ACCAAAGTTACTCATTTTTCTGTCATGAGGAGAAATACATAAAAACTTCATATTGGAATACATAATTGAATCTTTACATGTCTGATAAATCCACGTTAACTGACTCATTGAGAGTTCTTTAAATAAAGTCACAATATTCTATTTTTGTATTCGTCTGAGACTGGTACGTTCTTGAAAAGTTAATATTATTAGATTTCTTAATAAAACAGCAAGACGATCAATAATTAGTTTGCGGGTTGCCCGCCTTTCTTTTTTTCTTTCTTAAAGTTTCACATGCAAAGTTTCATAGCCGGAATGAGGTATAATTGGAACTATGATGAAAAAAATACCATGTTTACTCGTCGAGATACACAAGTTTTAGATTTAGAAGGGTATGGTTGTGGGTGACAGTTTGCATGTAAGTAGATATGTGGCTAAAAATAAAAATTGCATTTTGTCAAGCTTTAAATATAGGGTAATATACTGCCAAATATAGTCTATCTAATGATATAAATAGGTTTGCTGCAACTTTCAAAGAAACTAAGGAACTAATTGCCTAAAAATTAGTGTGAAAATTGCAATGCCACTGAGAAAATTCATATGTGACAAAATTAGGCTATTCAATAAACAACTCAAGTACATGTTCTGAGATTTCCAATTCAAACTCTATTTAATGGTAAAAGATATTTTTTAGTTTTCACGTTTAATTTCGGAGTAAAAAGAAAAATTTTTTTTCTATAGTGTTGTCTAAACGGCTAGTCTCATAAAATGAGCAATCTGAACTTCAAAATTTCCCAAATCTTGTCAAAATGTTCTTCTATTTACTGTCTCTAATCTCTATTAATGTCAACATTCCTAAAGTGTCCAGTGTTATTTCCGAAAAACATAAAATTTTTGCAGGTATTTTTCAGATTATCTGGCTTTGGAAAAATGTGCAATGGACAAAAATAGAATATTCGAAATTAGCGCGTTAAATTATATCGATTGCTATGCAATACAAAATAATTTTAAAGAAACAAATTTTCTTGAAAAAAAGACAGGAAGGATCATTCTCAGGGGTTTTTCGTGGGAAAACTTCTTGTTCGCAAAAGATGCTTTCCTGTGTCATGTTCAAGCTTTTTTGAGCAAAGAAATCCGTTTTCGAGCAAGAAAAGTCATATGTCCGCCTGCCATGCGCAAACTGCTTGAGTATTGAGAGATATTTCTATTTCACCCACCCTGAACCTAATTTTACTTGAGCGTTTTTCTAAAAATAAATAAACAAATTGATATGTATCACTTAGAAACTTTCTCATGTAAATTGTAAACTAATACATTTCTAGAGAGTTACAATTTATCTATTACAAATAATATATTTCAATTAATGCATAGACTCTTCATTTATATTAATTATTCGATAAAAATAACGATTATGTCAAATGAATCAACGTCGTTCCACGACAAAGACAAACCTTTTTTTTCTTGTTCAACTTTCTGGATTAGGCAAACAAAAAAAAGTCACAAGTGAAATTTCAAACACAAAATATTAAATCATATTAAAGCTATTTACATTCAAGCATTAAAATAATAAAAACTTTTAAAAAATTGTCATTAGTTCATGTAAAATCTCGTCAGCATTTTCAATCGTACAACCTGGCCATCTAAAAAAAAGCAAAAGAAAAAAAATTTCCAAAAAAACCAAAACGAGAATATTTTAAATTAACCGTGTATGTAATAATTGAATAATATCCGGTACACGTTGATCATTTTCTTCAAAAAAGTCTCCATAAATCGATGCTGAATATTGTTGTCGAGTATCAATTGAAACTGTACAAGATTTTTCTTGTTTTTTTAAGCCACTATAAATATGTAATTGAAAATAATTTTCATAAATCCAATTATTTAAAAGATTAATATTTGTTGAAAATATTATGGCATAACGACGATTTAAACAAATAAGCCATACAGGTACTTTTGGTGTACGTAACATGGAACCAATTTCTTGTTTATGCCAAAATAAATCGTCATCATATTTTGACCAATAAAGAAATCCAACTGGACAACGATTTTTTACACCATGTTGAGGTTTTTCCTAAAAATATACATCATATATATATATATGTATTCCATTGAATATTAACTTTCATACCATTAAATTTCCATTTGAATCAACATCAATAACACCATTATGAAAATAATGTAAAGCTCTTCCGGTTAATGCTAATGTAACCATTTGAATTGTTGATTCATCACGTTCACCTACTAAACGTGTATGATCAAGATCATCAATTAATCTATATAAAATCAATTTTTTTAATTGTATATCAAAAAACAAAACTTGTGTCTACTTTTTTAATGTACGTGATAACATAAGACTATAGAGAAATAGAATGACACCGTTTTCTTTCATAAACTAAATATAAAGATATGAAATTATATGTTTTATTTTGTGTTAACTGTTCACGTACATATGGTAAACATTTGATAATAAACGAACGAAGTTTTGCCAAATCAACAAATTCAAACATATGTAACTAAATAATAATGTTTTTTTTTTTTTTAATTTTAATAAAATTTCTTCTTACTCGTTCAGTTAATCTGTCAGGTACATAATGTTCGCCATGATTTGTAAAACATGCATCACCAGCATAAGGAATACAAACTGTTGCTCCTCGATATTCACCTGCTTGCCATAAAATCTATTAAATACAAATCTATTATACATACAATTATGAAGTATTTCATACTTCAGTAAGAGCATCAACAAGTGCTTCAGTACGTGCTTCAACAGTAGCAGAAACAGATCTTGACAAGCAGGAAAAAAAAAGAGATAAATTATTCGAATTCGATAATTATTTACATACCGATGTTGATTTTCTGATAAGGCATTCTTCATAAGTAAATGTCGAAGAACAAATGCTTGAACACATAAAATAAGACCACGAGCACCCGTCTAAGAAAATATGAAGAATTCTTTTTCTTTTTTTAAATAATAAATTCATTACTCGATCCGCGATAAGACCATAATTAAGTGGATTTGTATAATCACGAAATGAAAATTTAGCTGAAAGCCAACTTTGACTAAATGAATGAATAGTTGAATTATTAGCCAAAAGACGAAGAGTCTAATAAAGAAAAATAAATATAATAAATAAGTTGATTGGTTTTTTGTTTGCATACTGAAGCAGTAGCCAATGTTATTTGATCACCTTGAGAATAAAGTTTTAAACTAAGACTATTACCATGAGTTTTAATATAATCATCTAAATTTCTTTATTATTATTTTAATAAATAAAATAAAATTTTTCATTTACCTTCGAATAATTTCGGTGCTTGTGAATCAACTTGTTTTGCTTTAAGAATTGGCTGAGCAAGTAATGAATCAACACGCTATAAATATTATAAAGCAAAAGTTTTTTTCAAAATGTAGATTAAAAATATTTTCATACATTTTTTAATTCAACTCGGCTAACTTCAAAATAATTGACCAAATCGAGTAATTCTTGATCACTTAATTCACCATCAGAGTTAGTAGTAGTAATCTGATACATAGTAGTTGAACCTTGCGTTGAATGAACATTGTCTCGAGTTACAGCCGGCATTTTAATATCTTGTGCACTATAAATTAATCTAAAAAGAAAAAACATGCATTTCAAAACAAATTTTTGATTTTTTTTTACCATGTGCATTGTCACAATTAAAAAGTGAAATATAAGCGCGTAAGAAAACTCAATAGTATTTGAGTACTGCTTCGATTCAATATTGTACTGTAAAAAATAGTTTGTAATATATGAGATTTCATACATAAGTTAGATTCAACATTTATTTAAAACACGATGACTAATAAGAAAATACAGTCAACCAGTCAGTTATTGATTTAATTAAATCGAATTGTACGAAATTTTACTTTCGATAGGTCTCATAAAAAGCTTTATGCGAGGGTTCGAGACCGGATTGGTTGGCGCCTGTTTTATTCTAACTGACCTAATTGTTAAAAAAAGTTCGATGTTCCAAGCAGGAACGGCTGTATGACTTCTCTCAATCTTGAAAATTTTTCGTTTTTGCTCAATGGAGTTGTAGAGTTTTATTGTTTTTCTTGGCTCGCTGATTTCTAAAAAACTGGTCATCTCTACTAAAAATTTTTCAATTTGCTCCTCTCAGACATTGCTCTCCGTTTCTGTTCTTTGCAACCTCGGATATTGCTTCTTCTCCAAATCGACAACAACCTACGCACTAATTGTTCTATTCATCAGTCACATAAAATAGTGTGCGTGCTGCAGTGTCGCTGATGTAGAACACTATCGGCATGCATCTACTTTTACAACATTTGAAAAGAATTATTTGTTTTTTTTTTGTAGTTTCTATAATGCTAAAACAACATTTTTGTGTTTCTCGTTAGCCAATCAGCGCTTAATAATCATACAGAGAAAAAACAGAACATCGAATCAAACAGTCGATTTTTTTCTAAACTTAAAGAAAAATTCAACTCTAATATTTTGAGTCTAACTAAGTAATGAATTTTCAATCATGTATATTTGAACAGATTTTATCTAAATAAAATATTAATTAACTCTTCTAGAAGAAAAAGAATATATAAAATGAACGAATGTTTTTTTTTTCTCAACTTTCTCACCTCAAAAATCATGATAAAACATTGAATAAAATGCACTTTTAATCATCAATTTATTTTTCAACAAAAATAAAAATACATCGAATGAATTGAATCTAGAATTACTTTCATTTCAATAGAAAATTACATGACAACAATCCTTGATGTTTTTTTCAAACAATCATATATTTGACACATCTATGCATTTTTATGATCCATAAAATATATTCTATGGATTTGTCAACTCGTATTCAGACGAAAAGAACAGGACAATGCGAAAAGGAGGGAAAGCGAAAATGTTGCTTTCTCTCCTTTGTAAAACAATAGACGAAACCATATGGTGCTTCGACATCATTTGCATCAGTATTATCATGACCATAATCATCATCTTGAAGTAACATTTGTCTTTTTTGTCCTTCGATATTGAGTAGTGATGATGCGTCGACGTACTTTTTTAAAATATTTAGTTTTAATTCCAACTTTATGGATTGTTGCAATACTTACATTTTCATTTCGTACTGATTCTTCATCAATATCTCGTACAAATAATGATGTTCCAATAAATGTTATCAATAAAATTGTATCAATACCATCATTAGTTGATCGTATTAGAAATATTTTACCATTTAAACAACAACAAAACGATCATGATCATCCACCAGAAGAACGTATTAAAGCTCGTGAACAAGAAAGAGAAATGAATGCTAAAGTACAAGTTCTTGCACCAGAAAGAAATAATCATCATGATCGAAATATGAGTGGTCCTGGTGAAATGGGTAATCCTGTACGAATAAAAAAAGAGAAATTAACAGAAGAAGAAAGAAAAAAATTTGATGCAGGATGGAGAAATAATGCATTTAATGCATATGCTAGTGATATGATATCATTAAGAAGAACTTTAGCTGATGTTCGTGATCCTGAGTAAATTGATTATTTACAAAATGATTGTTCATTTTCATTTTTTTTTTCTTTATTTATGTATTTAGATGCAAAAAAGTTGAATATCTTCCAAATTTACCAGTAACATCAGTTATTATTATATTTCATAATGAAGCACGATCAGCATTATTACGTACTGTTTGGTCTGTTCTTGATCGTTCACCAGCACATTTATTAAAAGAAGTAATACTTGTTGATGATTTTTCTGATAAAGGTTTGTGTTATTGGTAAGTTTGAAATAAATAAAAGAAAACTTTTTATTTTTTTTCTTATAAGAACATTTACAAAAAATGCTTGAAGATGATATTAAACCAATGGAAAAAGTTCGATTACTTCGTACGAGTAGACGTGAAGGTCTTATACGAGCACGTTTAATGGGTGCTAAAGATGCCAAAGGAAAAGTTTTAATCTTTTTGGATTCACATTGTGAATGTGCTGAAGGTAAGTTACAAAAGAACTATTATAGGTTTGGTCATACGTGCAGGAAGAAAGTGATTCCTCTCCAATCTTGGAAAGTTTTCGTTTTTGACGAATTCACGAAAAAATAAATTTATTCCGTTTTACTTTTATGTTTTTCAAACTACTATGCCTTGCATATTTATCATTCTTGAGTCTTGTTAGATGTGCACAGATGAAAATATTTCCTCCATCGACATCAATGGTGGTGTGGGTTGAGACGAGCGATCGCCCGTCTTCTAAAAGATTATTTGCAATTTTTCTTAGAAGAGAATGCTTAAAAATGTGTTAGTACTATCTCTAATATTCTTCAAAACACGTTTTATGATAATAAATATTCCCCGCCCCACCACTGATCTACAACCAAAATAGTCTTACAGCTTTAAAAGGTACGTAAGCATAAAAGTCAAAACGGGATAAATTTGATTTCTCGTGGACCTATTTATACACGGTTTATTTTTTTTTACCATAAAATATTCATAACTCCTGACTCTTTTTCGTTTTATTGAAATGTAAGATCGACTCTATTCTATCTAAAATATGAAAAGAAAAAAAATTCAAAGCTCAGCGTAGAAATATTATTTTCATTTCGAAATTGCACCAGATATTATAAAATATCTTTCAATTATTTATACAAAGTATGAGATTTAACTAGTATATGATTCAGGAAAATCATTAAAAATGAATATACATAATTGAAACATACATTAGAAGATAAAAATCATCTATTTCACCACATCTGTGATTAATGTCTATCATAATCATGTCAAAATGTAGAAGAAAAATACTCATCGGTTAAATGCTATCAAAAGGACTTTACATACATTCTAACACCCAAGTCATTCCATTTATTTTGTATCATTTTTTACATCCCATATACTTGAAAGCAAAAACTAATAGCATATTTGAGATCAGCTGGCACAATCACATCGTCGACTCTCGATATTTTTCTTGCGTTCGCAAGTTATTCAAAACTTAAGAAACTATAAAAGCGTAGAATATTTTGTACGCTGATCTTTAAAAGCCTTGAACAATGATTGAAAGTTATAACAATAATAAGATAAAGATTTTCATGAATATTAACGTTAATTCTTTACCAGGAATTCATTAAGAGATATCAAGAAATAAATAAATAATATTATTCTTTAGGATGGCTTGAACCATTATTAGATCCTATTGCACGAAATCCTAAAGCATCTGTTGTACCATTAATTGAAATTATTGATGATGGAACATTTGAATTTAAAGTTACAGCAATTGAAAGTATTCAAGTAGGTGGATTTGATTGGAATCTTATATTCAATTGGCATATGACACCAGCAAATGAAATGAAACGACGAAAAAATAGAACTGATCCAATTAGGTAAATTAAATATTTTTTTTTTTTAAAATTTATTCAATATATTGTTTTTATATTTATTAGAAGTCCAACAATGGCTGGTGGGTTATTTGCTATAGATCGAGATTGGTTCGAAGAACTAGGAATGTATGATCCAGGCATGGATATTTGGGGTGGTGAAAATCTTGAACTTTCTTTTAAGGTCTATTTTTGACAAAAAAATCCTTTCATATTATTAAGATATTTTTTATTCTAAATATTTCTTATAATGTAGCTTTGGCAATGTGGTGGTGAACTTTTATGTGCTCCATGTTCACATGTTGGTCATGTCTTTCGAAAACGTTCACCATATAGTTGGCCTAAAGATGTTAATGTTGTTAGAAAAAATACTGTTCGTCTTGCTGAAGTATGGCTTGATGAGTATAAAGTAATGAATTAATAAAAATAAATATCTACAGATTTATTTACTTTTGTTTATTTTTTCTGTAGCATTATTACTATGAACGAATAAATTATAAGCTTGTAAGAATAATTTATAAAAAATATATATTTGAATTGATTATTGTTGTTGTTTTATTTGTTAAGGGTGATTATGGTAATGTATCTGAACGATTAAAAATTCGTGAACGTCTTCAATGTAAACCATTCAAATGGTATCTTGATAATATTTATCCTGAACAGTTTGTTCCTGGAGAAAGTTTATATTTTGGCGAGGTTAGATTTAATTATTTTAGTTAAATAGAATCAAATATATATACTTTTTGGTTTTTTTTTTCTTCAAGATTCGAAGTCGGGGTAAAATAGATGTATGTATTGATTCACAAGAAGTTGAAGATCATGATAGACCAATTATTGGTTTTCCATGTCATGGACAAGGTGGCAATCAATATTTTCTTTACTCAAAAAATTATGAAATACGACGAGAAGAAAAATGTGTAGATTATCCTGAAGGACACTTAAATGAACCCGAGAGAATTCTTTCTATGACATGTCATTCAATGAAAGGAAATCAAATGTGGTTTTATGAAGTATGCTAATAGTGTATATAGATTATTTTGATTAATTTCTTTCATTTTTAAGAATGATATGATACGACATGCATCAGGTTATTGTATTGAATTATCAGAAACAAATTATAAAGATATTTGGATGACTACCTGTGATCCATCGAATCCCTTTCAAAAATGGTCTTGGAAAAAACGTCTAGACAAATCGACAAATGCTCATTAATATAATTTTTTTTAAATTTCTTTTATTCTATTTTTTTGTTCTTTTTTTTTTGGTGCTGTTTTTATTTTTTACAAATCGGTGTTTGAATATTTATGCATAATTGTTATTAAATAAAAGAAGAAAGCCTGTTTATTTGTTTTCTTTTTCTTTTTTTTTTCTATAGATAAACATGATGAATAATGATGGTACAACAGGAGGAAATAATGTTGGTCTTACACAAACAGATGATCAACAAATGATAACATTAGCTGATCGAGAAAATTATATAGCACGATTGTAAATAATAAATTCTAAAAAAAGCACGATTTTATTTTAATTTCAAAATTTATTTGTTTTTCACACTTTAGAACACATCATTTAGGTGGCAATAGAGAAATGGCTAAATACTTTGATGATGAAGCAATTACAAAAAGTGGTGGAAAAGCGGTAGAATATTTTTCTCTTCTGATCTAGTTTATATTTAGTTTATTTAGGCAATATATAAAAGAACTCTTCAAATGCTATTTCAACAACGAAACCAACAAATTCAACAACTACAGCAGCAGCAACAACAACAATCAATGATGACCTCACAAGTAACTGAGAATTAAAGTTTCATCTAAACATTATATTTCCTATTTCTTTTAGCAACAACAACAGCCAACAATATATATGACATCTCAACCAACTTCATTGATTAGCATGTCTCAACAACAACAGCAACAGCAACCTCCTACATATACAATGCAAGCACCATTATCAACATCATCATCGTCATCATCAATCGCATCGTCAACAACAATGGTCAACATTAAACAAGAACCTCAAATACCGATGTCTAATATTCAAATGAGACCAAATTCACAACATTTTTCCATACAACAACAACAGCAACAACTACAGCTACAACAGCAACAGCAACAACAACAACAACAACTACAACAGCAACAACAACAGCAACAACAACAACTACAACAGCATCAGCAACACCAACAGCAACAACTACAACAGCAACAGCAACAGCAACAGCAGCAACAACAACAACAACTACAACAGCAACAACAGATTAAACAAGAACTAATGGTACCACCGATACCGCAACAACAGCAACAGATTAAACAAGATTTAATGGTACCACCACCACCACCACCGCAACAACAACAACAAATTAAACAAGAATTAATGATACCACCAATACCCCAACAACAACAACAGATTAAACAAGAATTAATGGTACCACCTATACCGCAACAACAACCAGGTATACAAATTCAACAAATAAGACAACAACAGCCGTCACAATATAATCCACAACAGATATCACAATATAATCAACAACAACAACCATTGCAATATAATCAGCAACAGCCACCATCGCAATATAATCAACAACAGCCACCATCCGTCCATAATCAATCTACAACAATTATACCTCAACAACGTACTATAGTTCAGGTAAATTAATATGATAGTCTTAGTGAAAGAAAACTTCTATTTATGGATTATACAGCATTTACAACAAGTACGTCAACAAAGTCATCTTAATCAACAAATTGAATCGACTAATTCGGCACAATTGCAACAACAACAACAACCATCTAATTCTTCTTCATTATCACAGTCATCATCAATGAATAGTGGAGGAGCATCATCATCATCAACCTCAACTTCTACTACATCTGGTGGTAGTTCAGATGAAAGTAAATCTCCTTCGTTTTATGATGAATTTCTGTAGAAAATCGATTTAGTTTTGCAACAAATTCTTACTAGCCCAAATCCACCTAAACAAGCATCAAACGCTGTTCAAAATGTTGCACAAGCAAGATTACGTACAGTATGTATAGAATAAAACACGACTCTAATCTAAATAACATTTTTATTTTTAGATTAATCGAACTGTTCGTAATCCATCCTTACCAACATCTCAAGTTCTTCAACAACAACAGCTTAGTCCAATGACACCGTAAATTAGAATATCTACATTTATAAGAATATTTTCTTATTTTTTAAAATTATTTTCAGAGGATCTGATCCCATGATTATTGGTAATGTTCCATCGTCTCATTCTCATCCTGGTATGATGCAACAACCACAAACACCTATAGGACCACCTGGTCAAAGTCCATTAGCACGTTATATGATGGCTCAATCTCCGCAAAATAGTATCTATCGTCCGCAAATGTCGCCCATGAATATGATGAGTAAGATGTTTCAAGATTCTATTCTTTTTCTTGATATTTTTTATACATGGACTATTTCAAGCAAAAGTACATTTACCTACCTTTCGTTTGACTTTGACTTTTTACAAGAATTATTATTTTTTTGAATTAGTTCTTTTACCAGAGACATGTATAAGAATGTTGGCTCTTTCAAAATTAAAACTTATTAGCAAATGTCTCTCTAATCATGCGAGAAAAATATCTAAAAACTTCAAGATAGACTCTACGGTATGAACTGCTTCTAAGGTGAAGTTTTCAGTAAGATTAAACTCTAAGAAAACTTTCTCTTAAAAACCAGATTTTCTAGAGACCCATCTTGAAAGAAAGGTCTCCGACCCTGACTTTTACAGTAACTTAACATACATGTAACATATAGCTATTAGCTTAAAAAAAGTTGAAAAAAGAATTCAAATCTAGTTAACTCTACAAGACTCAAGAGAACTATTCAACAAAGATATTATATATCATTTACAAGCATTACACATGAAGACAGCTCTTAAAAACTTCTTTTTTTTTTATTAATTATGTGTTTAGATTATGCAGGTAGTCCGACAGCAATGATTGAGGATGAAATGCATTATTTATTTAAATTTTTTACTGATCGTATTCATTATTTAACTAGAATAATGACTCGTTGTCAACAAGAAGGTAAACTGAACTAAAGAAAATAAAAATAATATTTATTCGTGTTGTTTTCTCTCTCAGGTCAACATGATAAAGTAGCTAAATATCGACAATTACATGATCAAATGGCTACTTTTGTTCGTAATCCAATTCCAGAACATTTAATGGTTGCACGTCGTCTTAAAGAACATGTTGATCGTATACTTGATCCACGTATGTTTGGACCAGTTATGATGCCACCCATGGTTGATATGGCTGGAATGATACCACCGGGAGCTCATAATAATGGTCGTTTAATCACAAATGGAATATTTGAACAATGTCAACGTGCTATAAGTGATTATCTTGGCAAAGATACAACATTAAAATATAATGTCGCAAAACGATTTTTAGAACCTTTAAGTGAAGTTCTTAATGGTGTACCACATAAGTATGTAAATATTTATAATAAACTTACTAAAGCTATTATAGTATGAGATAGATTGATGCTTTAAAGCTCAATATTGAGAAATAAGAAACTAGACTAAAGTTGAGAACGAAGGCGAGATTTGAGATAGACGATCAACTAATGGTTCTCTTTTGATACACTTATAATGTATTTTATGTTATCAATAGATTACTCCAACGGTTTAAATAAACCTCGATAATCTCGCATTGGAAGTGTTCAGATTGGTTCTATTACCGTTGTTTTTCTTATTCCAAGATTCACAAACAGTTAAGAATATCTCAATAGATCTGCATTACATACAATTTCTAATAACTAGATTGATGAGTTAAGAAGAAATTTGACTTCTGTTATGCAATTTTCTCAGTTAAAATATACTTAATGCATTCTCACAAGAAGATTGACTCTTTAATGGCAAGATTTCATATCAAAAGATATGCAAATCTAAAAAAGAAAACATGTCATTGAAGTTTCAAAAAATCATTCATGCATACTTTTATCAAATACGAAAATCTTTGCAATCGAAACTCTCTATTTAGAAAATTTATTTGCTATAAGATTATCATTGTTTATCTATTGATTTCTTTTCTATTCATATAGAAATATACGATTAGATACAGAATCCAAACAAGTAGTTGAACCATATTCTTCATCACCTAATATTCATTCATCAAAATCTCTTGCAAATATCATTGAAAATGAATTTGCTCATTTATCAATGAATACATTTACTTATGAATTAAAACCAATGTCTGATAAAATGTCCACATCATTATCATCGATAAATGATATAAAAGATTTATCAATATGTGATTATGAATTAACATGTCGTTTTATTGAAATAAATATGCCTGTTGTACCACCATTAAAAATGAAATTAACAATAGAATATCCTAATGAACCACCTGAAGTACTTTCATTAACACCAACAACATTAAGTTTTACACCAGCTAAACTTGAAAAATCAGGTAAAATATAATAATAATAATGAAAATATTTATAATTCTATCTTTTTTATAAGATGGGCATTCATTTTTTGAATCAATATCTCGAAATTTTATATATTTTCTATTTAAATTACCAACACAACATACTGTCACTGATATTTTAGATATATGGGTAAGATCATTCATTATAAATAATAGATAGTGTAGAATGAATTAGACTGTTTATATTTTTCCTCTATTGTTCATTCGATGGAAATACTTCTTTTTATCAAATGATAATACTTGAAACTCCTTCACAAAATAGTATACTTTTATTTAATGAGCATAGTTTTCTTCAATTATTGTTTGATTAAATATAATCGTATAGTAAGTTTTTTTCTTTTTCAATTTTTTTGACGGAACGTTTTATTTTGTCTATTAATGTGACTTTTGTTGTTGTGTGGTTTCAATTAGTTCCATAAACTATAATCAAACGAATTTAAATCAGGCAGAGATTCAATGACTTATGGTTCTTCAGTATAAATACAAGAACCTGGCATGTTGTACATCATTTTTCATTGAGGTAGTTTGTGTCCCTAAAAAGAATTCCACTAACATTAAGTTTACAAAATTAGCTCGCTCGCTTTGTGCCGATTGATCACCGGTGACTCTGATATTCTCTTATGAGAAAGAGCCAAGATTTTTTATGCCATAACAGTGGTACGTTCTTTGATTCAACAGATTGTTTTCTTGCTGACATCTGTTTGTTGAAAAGTAGGCACCATTTCATTTTTTGTCGGATATTTACTTTTGTTCGAACTAAGAGTGGACGACCACGATGGTGTCGAAAATTGACAGAGCCAGTGTTGTTGATCGTTTTTGTTATTCATTTAATTGTTTGTAATGAAACTACTGCGCCTAAATCATGACAAGTTTTCGCCGGCTCCTTAACAATGTCATGTGAGACAATATTCAAAATACAAACAGTCTAATTTATTCTGCGCCATCTAGTATATCTAATTAAATCTACTCATTTTCTTCTTTTTAGTATACTTCCATTCGAACTGCTTCCTTATCTCAGCAAGAATCATAAAAAAAATTTCATTTGTTTTTTTCGTTTTTTGTAAAATATTAGACATCTTTATTCATAATATGTTTCTTATTTGTATGTATATTGTCTGTCTGTAATTGAATGTATGCTCTTTTTTCTCTTGTTACGAGTTTATTTGTAATGATGTTGAGCAAAACAAAAAGAAGAGAATTAAAATCTTATGTGTGGTGTGAAGAAAAAAAATAATAATCAAGATAATATAGTTAATTTTAATTTTATTTTCTATTCGCATGGACGAATATTTGAGGAGACTGTAACACCAACAACACGTAAGCATAGTGTAGTACCATTCATTGAAACAGTATCAACATCACGCCAATTATTAGCAAACATATCTTTTTGAACAGTAACTTTTATATTTTGAGCATATGATGGTAGTGTTACTGATTTTGTTTGATGAGTCATTATTGTGCCACTTTGCATTAAAAATGGTTCACAATCTGGATATGTATAAAGTACTTGAAGACGAGTATTCATTGCAGCACGATTTTGAAGAGTTATAATAATTCCTAGAATATCAAAAGATATTGATTAACAAAAAATAAATAAATGAAACAGATAATATTTACCATCAGGATTTGTTATTATCACCCATTCACGACGTGAGTCTAAATGGTCTTTACTGTGCTTTGCATTTACTTCATCTTCAATATCTTTCAAGAAAATTCGTCGATCTAAAAAAAATTTTTTATTTTATATATAATCTCTCACAAAAAAGTACAGTTTACTTGAATTGATTTTATTTTTACTTCGGTGAGTTTCATATTCATCTAAATAGAAAATTTAGTAAGAAAATAAATAAAAAAGAACGTCAAAATACAATGTTCATACTGTAGCAATAATCAACATGTTTTTTCAAGTAACAAAGATTTATTGATAAATGTCTATACTTAACTAATGTCCGCATTACGATTAAAGAGGCATTGGTGTAATCTCAATAATTAGCGATCTGTGACTTTCAGAAATCCGAATAGAAGAATTTCGGACGTCTTGTTATAAACAATTTTCAATAAAAAGTCTTCTGTATTATTTGAATGAATAGATACGCGATTTCTTTTGATGAATATTGAGGTAATCACCTAAATCATGTCTTGAACTATAAATGTGAAGCACATTTCAACAGCAAACTTATATCGAAATGGAACACCATATATTTTTAAGTTTTTGCAAAGAAGATGGGTTATAAAAGTGTTTTATTTTATTTAGTATCAGACAAAAAGAAAATGTCCGGAATCCTTCTCTTTTTACTAGATTAAGGGCATCTTCCTTCCCTTTTGTAGTTCAAAATTTTTTTTTTTTTTTTTTTTGGTGACCATTATGTAGTGTAAAGTAGTTTTTATCTAGTGAGTACATTTTCAGATTCGAAAACAGTCTTTAAAACTTGAAAAAATTGAGAAGAAATCAAATTAGTGAAAACTGTACCATCTATCGTGCATTTCTCCAAATCAATTTTTCAAGAGAAAAATTCAAATATTCTTCAAAACACTGTAATTAATGGAGCTGAAAGTTTTTGTGTGATAATTAGAAGCAAATTGGGGTGTAAATATATATTTTGTTAAAAACAATGTTCTAGTGACTTTTACCAAATCTTACGAAATTTGCCATAGGCAAAAGAAGGCATTTTTTGAAAGTTCTTTAAGTAATTTGGTTTTACTTAGCAAAGAAAATAATATTTTTCAAACAAAAAATCAATATACACCTCAATTTAGTTCTAGTTTATTACAAAATAAATTACGACTGTTTATGACAGAAAGGGAAGGCACTTCAAATCATTTTTAACCATTGCATCTCCTATATCTCATAGAAGAAAATATCTCAAAGTTTTATGTCTATGACAATTTTTGCTCTACTAGTCAAGACCTATGCGTTCTGAAAGTTCCAGAATTTTTCATCGAATCCTTCTGAAGAAAATCTAGGAAAGGTGAGGTGTGCTCTTACTATTTATACTAACCTAGAAGATTTCGAAGTGAAGCTGCACGTTGATCGGATCTTTTGTCCAAACTAGCTGCCAAAAATATCAAGAGTAAGAAAAAGAGACAACTTTTTATGTTGATCATTTTCTGATCGTTTGTCGTCACCAACGTTGTATTCAATATCAAATATGAAACTGAAAACTCGTCTCTTTACGCTTCGTTGAATTGCATATTTATTTGCTGTATATACGCACAATTTTGTTGACTAGTATCGCAATTAGTACTTCTCCGTTTCTCCATCGGTTCCCTCGAATAAAATGCTTCAATTACTTTTCAATGTTCATGTTAGTCAGATGTACATGTCTTCTTTTTAAGATGACAAAATTAGACCCATATAATTCCATAGGCTTATTGTATTTCTATTGAGCTTCAAATTCTAATCCAAATACTATGAAAAGGTGAAACATGAGAGTTAGCCAATACACTAGAGACCTACATTGCGGCCACGACCGTAACCAAAAAAGAGAAAAATTTTGTCGCAACAGCTTTGCGTAACAAGATCAAAAGAATAAATCGAACCGAACCGATTTGTTGAAAATTTTCTCCTTTTTAAAATACCTTTTAAGTCGTGAGAATAGAACAATCTCTGACAGAGAAAAATATTGTGCATTTGACGTGGCCAACTCTAGTCACGTTTGGTCACGAATTTTTTTTTGATCATGACCAAAACGACATTTTCTCTGTTGAAGATTGTTTTATCCTGACGTCTTAAACAGCATTTTGCAGAGGAGAAAATTCTGAACAAAATGTCTAGCTCGATTTCTTCTTCTAGTCTTGTTACAAAAAGCTGTTGCGAAAAATTTTTTTCTCTTTTCGGTCACAACTGTGACTAATCTATGTCAAGAAAGTCTTCGTACGAAATATTTGCTCATTTTTCAGTCACTCAGAAACAACTAGTGAGTGTCAAAAGCAATTAGTAAGACTCAGAATTTTTTGCTCTTTCCGAATATGGGCTCAGAAATTTTGTGCCAGTTTTTGTTCGAAAGTAATGAAGGAATCTTTGAAAGGCCTAATAAACAGTTTGGACGAAAATGTTTTTCGTACATACTCATTATTGGGATCCGAAACTAAATGTTGAAACTTTTGTTGATATATCAGCTTGTAGAGTAAAATTTACTCTACAAAAAGCACTATATTACTTTCTTTTTGTCTTTTAAGAAAGCACCTAAATTTTCGTTTTTCAATATGACCCTCATTTTGAAAAAATCGGCTTTTTGACGTAAGCGCGTTTTACGTAGAAAGTAGCTTTTGAGAAAATGGTTATTACGTCAAACTATAGTTTAGTGCGATATCACGTTCTGTAAAGAAAAGTTCGCTCTACAAAATCGCCAACTCCGACAATTGTTAGGGTCTTCGCAAAGGGACTTATGAGAGTTAGCAAAAACCCTGTTTGTTTGCCGCCCCAACCAATTTTGATGCTTTTCAAAGATTTCCTCACCCTTCTCGAAGAAAAACAGGCACACAATTTCTGAGCCCATATTCGGAAAGAGCGAAAAATTCTGAGTCTTACTAATTGCTTTTGACTCTCACTAGTTGTTTTTGAGTGACTGAAAAATGAGCAAATATTTTGTACGAAGACTTTCTTGACATAGGCTATTATGCAGGTCTCTACGATACATACATATGCCGGTTTTTAATTTCAATTGACATAAAGGTAAATTATTGAACCGTGAATGTAATTGATAGTAATTAAAAAAAATCAATTATACTTCAGTTGATTGTTTGAAAATTTGAAAACGTATCTGATAAATATTGAAACTTCTAAACTTAAAAACAAATTTATTTTATATTAAAAGAAATTTTAAATTAGCACAACTTTACTGAAAAATATTCTGTGTTATTCCCTCGACTGAAGGGAGGATCATATGAAATAAAATGAGTTTGTGTCCGCCGGTGCGTCTGTTTAGTCACAGGTCTCTATGCAATAGTCTAATTAATAAAGTTTGACTAAAGATAATTTGAGTCGGGGAATTCGAATCCGAACCCGTGATCAGTTTTTCGAAATTTTTAGTTAGTTTTTCTTCAATAGAGGAAGGCTTTTTACGAACAAAATGATTTTTCCCATGACTGAAGGGGGAGAAAGGGAGAAAAGCGTATTTCTAAGTATTCCTAGATATATCTACGATATAGAAATACAGAAATACGCTTTTCCCCCTTGACTTATATTCATCAAACCTAAAACTATATTTTTCTATGTATGTCAATATTTGAATTAATTTTTTAGAGAAAGCTTTTTGAAGTTCGATCCTGTCGAGAATCTCACCACAGATGTAGCTTCTACCGTAGAGTCTATCCTGAAGTTTTTGAATTTTTCTTTGTTTTTAAAAAGATATTTGCTTATTACTTTTTAAATAATTAATTAATTAATTAAAATTAAAAGGTCAGTTATAAGGACCAACAGTTTTACGCATGTGTCTGCGAAAAGAACTTTCTCAGAATAACAACTCTAGTGAAAAAACAAAGTCAAACGAAAGGCGAGTATGTCCCGTTCTGCTTAAAATAATCCAAATTTGTTTTTCAATAAAACTCAACCTTCTGTTGTTGATTGAGTAATTGATGTTTTTATTCTTGTTGTCATTATTGTTGTTAGTACTGTTTTTGCTATGTGTGCCTTTTCCTCATAATAATAGCTATCGGAATCGTAATGATTAGTATGATGATAACAGCAACTATACTAATAAGTATCATCCATACCAATTGTCTTTGTCGAACACATTCACATCTATCAGTATAATGAGTACTTGTCACTGTTTTCTACTGTTCAAAATACACATATCATATTTTTATTTCAGTAGTTCCCATTTGACCCTTGTGAATCTTTGCGAATTGAGACTGAAATAGTTTAACAGAAAGGAACTACTTCGTTCAGTGTCCTAAATAAATTTCATCGTAAACACTTTCTTTTCTCAGAGTTTATAGACAATGCTTCATTCAATTGTGACATTATTACAATAATTTTGCAATCAAAAATCTGAAAAAACGAAATGGGAAAGAATGTTTCATATTCAATATAGTTCATTATCATAGAATAAACCTTGTTGTTATGTCATACAAAAAATATTTGAAATAATAAAGATCACACAATATTTGTAAAACAGAAGATTTTCTGTAACTTCATTCGTACGAAAAAAGTCGAAGTGTTTGTAAGTAACTTTGAATACTAAGTGAAAAAGAAAGCAGTTTTACTTTCGAAGTAAAAAACCTGTTGTTACTTTTTAATAATTGAAAACAGTACACATGAATCATTGAGTATCGATATAATTTTATTCTTTCGTAGGAGTATGTCAAAAAAATGAATTTTTCACGAGAAATAGCTTGATTCTTTAGAAGAAAATATCCATAATTTCCTATATTAATAGAAAAACATAGAAGAATATATTTTAGTATTTAGTTCTTGATCCAATGGATTATTACTCTAATGAAACAAATTATTTCTTTTTGCAGTTAAATTTATTTACGAGTGAATTATCCCAAATGATTCAGAGCTTTTTGTGTTGATATATTTTCCATAATTAGAACTCAGTGAGATTAGAAAAAGCCTAGAAGAATCATAGCTCATAGATGTTTTTTTCCGCAATTTTCATACAGAGACTTCATGATCTTTATAGCGTCCTTACTGTCCACAATCAAAACAAGCGTTTTTTCTTGGAACAATGAGTTTTCAAGAAACACCTGCATTGTACTGCATGCTTTGAGAATCGATTTTTTTTAAAGTCACTGTATAAAGAAGGATTCCTTTACATTGTGACATTTAAGTCGTTATGAGGATCATGAGATATGTTTGAAGGAAAAATTTCAGATCGAAACTCTCTACGTTGAGTTTTCGGTACATCACTTTTAATAAATTATAAACCTAATAATACGGCTTATAACTCGGGAAAAAAAAAGACCTATGAACTCTGATCCTTTCAGGATCATTTCTGATTTCAGTGCAAATAATCTGAATTACTTTGGAGGTGTTTATTGGCTAGCTTCAGAACTAAGTATAAGAAGAATTTTTTAATAAGAAAGAAAACTGGTCTACATTTAATAAAACAGCATCGATCATCTTTCTTTTATTGTCTAAGGATATATAATTTTATTTAAAATGACTTTTTTTCTTGTAGAAGTCATACTTCTTCCAATAGAAACCTGCTTTATATTGTAATATTTATTATTCTACGCAAAGAGAATGACAGAGACTTGCTGTTATAATGAACATTACTTGTTCATAAGATAAAACAAAAAAACATATTCGTTTTAATTTTAAATCAGAGATAATTTTCAAAAGAATATCTTTACCTTCATTTAGAATATGAAAGAGTCGGATGAATATTGAGAATTAGAAAATCAATCAACTGTACTTTTTATGAGAAAAGGTAGCAACATTTAATAAATCGGGCATGTTTTTTAAAAAGTTTATACATTGTTAAGTAGTAGAGTTGGATGTTCTGATTATGAATATGGTATTTTTTCAAAGTGCTTTATTTTTATCGAAAACTGTATATTAGAGCAGTATCTGATTGATTTCGAAGTTTAAAAGTTTGTCCAATACGGCTATGACAAAAACTCCTACTGAAGGATGCGTTAGGATACAACTTTCTAAAGCTTTCTGGTTTCGTTACATGAAGAACTAAAGTGAAGTGTCTTACCTTCTTCGAACCACTCGAGGATTGGCTTTAAAATGTGATATTTATTTTGTCAAAATTTAGGTGTTTTTGGTGAGAAAATGGGAATTTTCAATATTAGAAGTAAAATCTTGTGAACATTTTCTCTGACATCAGTCATTTGGATGGTCAAGTTCTTAGAAAATAACAAAATGAATGGCATATTTGGAATTAGAATAAGCAACTGCATCATGTATATTTCAGCGAAAAATTTTTCATATTAGAAAATCGTCCGTACTCCATTTTAGATAACTTTTTTCAAAAATTTTGTCTGTGATTTACCTGATGCAAGTTCCTACTTGGAAAAGTTTTTCGTTGAAATATATAGGATTCAATGTAGTTCTTTTATGTAGATTCCAAATATGACATTCATTTTGTTATCTTCTAAGAGCTTGATGATTCAAATGGCTCATTACAGGGAAAACTTTCATAAGATTTTGTCACAGAAATCGAAAATTTCCGTTTTGTTAGCAATACCACGATATTCCAAAAAACTTAATACTTAGCTCTAAATTCTATCCTCAAGCGATTCGCATGAAGCAAGATAATTGGCTATAATTCTTCGTGCCAAAAATCAGATAGCTTTCCAGAATTGTATATTAATGCAACGTCGAGTAGGAACTTTAGTCATAGCTGTACTAGACAAAATTTTATTTTCAAAATCAACCAAGTACTACTCTAGTATACAGTTTCCGATGGCAAATCAGAAAAACACTTTGAAAAAATGTTATTATTGGCATGTTGCTGTTGAAATTTTACATGTACGGAAAACAAGACAACTTCTTTTATGAAATGTAGTATTTGTAACGATTGGCTGGTCTTTAAATTGAATATACAGAAGATTATTTGTATGATTTAATGCAGACGATTACATTGCGTAGTGGTATATGCAAGGGAGAAAAGTGCATTTCTAAGTATTGCTACGGATTATGGGTAGAAGTACCTAGAAATACGGAAATACTCCCCCCCCCCCCGCCCTCACCTCTTGTATTCTATTCATTAAAATACAAGTTTTACTGAAATGATTCATCTGATCTTCACAGAAGAATACCCACTCCCTTCTCGGGGTTACCTGTCTTCCATGAGATATTGACTCACAATAGATCACAATAACCGAACTTGTCCTCCGTTTCTCTGAGATGCTACGTTCGATTGAGTTGCAAATTTGGGTAAATACCCGAAACTACTTGGGGCGAGTATCTTTTCGGGTTTCCTTATACTGCCTGCCCTTTCAAATATAACTCAGAATAGCGGACGTGTCCGAAAAAAATGCTTGCTTGTTTTTACTAACGATAAGATAAGTTTTGTGAAAGCTGCCAAAAATCACTGAAGCAAAAGATTTTCAAATAAAAAAATACTCACCCCAAATAGTGACTAGTATGTGTGAAAAGAGTTTCAGCTCAATACCTCTTACCATATCTGAGAAACGGGGCAAAACAGAGTTTCTTTTCTAAATAAAATTTGATTTTGAGAAAAACGATAAACAATATTGAATTACGATTTTCTTCTCAACTTTCACCTTCTTTTCTTTCTAATTAAAGTTCTTTTAGTTTTTAACTACTGTGTCTTTGATGAAATAATTTTCTATATTTACAGAGTACTTTTTTCTTATGCTTGCTTGAGTGATGCCCATAATCAGATACATATGAACAATCTAATTACTTCTTGTTCCCTCTGCCTCTCTTATATTACTAAAGGAAGAAATGAAATACTAAACGAAATGATTAACAAATAACAATAAATCATTCTGAAGATACAGACTCTTCAACCAGTGATTAGGAACAGTCTTACATAAAAACAAAAGTAGCCTATACTACTAAAAATAATGTTGAAGTCGAAAATTTTCGACCTGCTTATATTGGTCGTATGTAAAATGAACACAATCAGCTATCTCAGACTGAAGTCGAACAATGTCTCATGTACCTCGACATACCACTCTAATATAATCACACTCTAACAATATGATAACTACAAACAGATTAAATCTACATGGGAAATATTTTGAACAACAGATTAAAAATCGAGTTTATAGAGAACACTTCAAAAAAAAAATATACATATATATCAATGAATAGCAAAAAGTCGAAAAATTTTTCATTTTCACATCGGGATAGGAGGTGGAGGTACCCTTAAGAATAGAACTCTATTTCCGACTCCGATGAAATCAATACATCATTATTTACATTGCTTGCAAATGGCATTCATTTCTTTTTGGCGGGTTGCGAACTACTAATTACTAAAAGCCTAATAAGAGAAAATTTTTATGAGGAGATGCCTAGAACGTTCGGGCACCGATCCCCTCCTGACTACGCCCCTACCCTTTACCAAGAATGCTTTATGCAACATATCATTTTTGAAAGCTCCATGTCTCGAATTTAGGCAATTCACTTTTGTTCGAACTTTGCCTGGTCGACCGGGATGGTGTTCGCAAATAGATAGAGCCAATATTGTCGATCGTTTTTTTTTTCGTTTATTTAATTGTTTGTAATGAAATTACTCCGGTCAAATCACGACCAGTTTTCGTCCGTTCACTAACGTTAGCACATGCGACGATATTCAAAATACAAGCAGTCTAATATATTCTGCGTCATCTACTATATTTAATTAAATCTTTTCATTCTTTTCTTTTTAGTATACTTTCATTCGAATTGCTTTCTTATCTCAGCAAGAATCATAAAAAATCTATTTTTTTTTTTTTTTTTTGTAGAAACTTACACATCTGTATTCATAAAATGTCTCTTATTGGTATGTATACTGTCTATCTACAATTGAATGTATGCTCTTTTTTCTCTTGTTACGAGTTTATTTGTAATGATGCGGAGCAAAAAATGGAAGCAGAAGAAGAAGAAAGTATGTTATGTGTTATGTGAAGAAAAAAAATGCGATAATAATCAAGATAATATAGTTAATTTTAATTTTATTTTCTATTCGCATGGATGAATTTTTGAAGATACTGTAACACCAAGAATACGTAAACATAGTTTACTACTATTCATCGAAACAGTATGAACATCACGCCAATTATTAGCAAATATATCTTTTTGGACGGTAACTTGTATGTTACGAGCATTTGGTGGTACAGTTATTGAATCTGTTTGATGAGTCATTAATGTGTCACCTTCAATCAAGTGTGCTTGACATTGAGGATCTGAATATAGAACACGAAGACGAGTATTCATTGCAGCATAATTTTGAAGAATTATTACATATCCTAAAGTATGGAAAGATGTTGATTAAACAGAAAAAATAAAATAAAACAGATAATATTTACCACTACTGTTGGTTTGTGAGTTTGATGATACACGTGATTCTAAATTCTGTTCATCTTCATCTTCGTCTAGTTCATCTTCAATATTTTTCAAGAAATTTCGTCGATCTAAAAAGTTTTTTTATTTTGTATATGGTGTCTAATAAAATAAAAGCTTACTTGAATTGATTGCATTTCTGCTTCGATGAGTTTCATATTCATCTAAATAGAATATTTAATAAGAAAATAAATAAAAAAAGCAATTTCAAAGGAAAAGTGTTCATAGTATAGCAATGATCAACATGTTTTTTCAAGTAACATAGATTTATTGATAAATTTCTATCCTTAATGAATGTTCATACTAGAATTAAACAGACATTGATGTAAGCTAAATAAATAGCGACTTGTGGCTCTGAAAAATCCAAAGAGGAAAATTTCAGATATCTTTTCTTAAAGAAGTTTTGATGAAAAGTCAGAATACTTGCTAAACAAGCCAAAAAAATTCTGTATAATTTTATTGAATAGATACGCGATTTCGTTCGATGATTATTGAGATAATCACCTAAATCATGTCTTGAACTATATATCTGAAGCACATTTCAAAATCAAAAATTTTACCGAAATAGAAGACAATATATTTTTGAAGTTTTTGCAAAGATGATAGATCATAAAATTATTTTATTTTATATAGTATCAGACAAAAAGAAGGCATTCGGAGTTCTCCTTGTTCGATTAAATTAAGGATTTTCCCCTCTCTTTTCGTGGTTCAAGACTTTTGTTTTTTGTGACCATTATATAGTTTGGAGTAGTATCTATCTAGTAAGTACATTTTCAGATTCAAAACCGGTCTTTGAACGTAAAATAATTCGAGAAGAAATCAAATTAGTGAAAACTCTATATATTATCGTGCTCTTCTTCAAATGAATTTTTCAACTGAAAAATTGAAGTTTTCCCCTTTCTCGCCTCAGACGCTTCGACGGCATGTGATAATATATTTACTGTAACGAATTTTAAAAGTTAATATAACAAAACAACATACTGTGTCGACGGTCTGGATCAGATTCTTGCAAATCATCGTCGTCTGATTCTAAAGAATATTGAAAAATAAAGCTTTCAATAATAAAACATTATCGATATTTATACTAACCTAGAAGATTTCGAAGTGCAGCTACACGTCGTTCAAAGCTTTTGTCTAAACTAGCTGCCAAACATATAAAGAGTAAGAACAAGAGACAAGTTTTTATGTTAATCATTTTCTGATCGTTTATCGTAACCAACGTTGTATTCAATATCAAATGTGAAGCTGAAAAATCATCGCTTTACGCATCGTTGAATTGCATATTTATTTTTTCTACTTGCGAACTATTTCGTTACTTTGTATCACATTAATACTCCTCTATTTCTTCACCATCACTGCTGGAAAAAACGAAACAAACAAATCCTTGTATTTGTCGACAGGGTTGACATTACTCACATGTACATGTCTTCTTTTTCAAGATAATAAAATTACATGTATATGACTGTATAGGGCTATTTTGTTTCTATTGATGTTCTAATCCGAATGCAAAACGGGTCACAAGGTAAAATATAGAATAACATCAATGCATATTTTTTTATTCTCTATTTTCATCGGTATATGAGTAGATTATTGAAGCGTGAATGTAATTCATAGCAATTATAAAAATCAATCATTCTTCAGTGGATTCCTTTAAAATAAATTCCTTTTATATGAAAGGAAATTTTAAATTAGCAAAAGTTTATGAAAAAATATTCTGTGTTATTCTATTTCATATTTAGCACATATTTTTACGACTAATATTCTTTCTTTCATCTAGCATGAAGAATCATCTTCTAAAGACTATGAGTTTGTATCTTGTATATTTTATTTAGTCTTCGACAAAATACTAACAGCGTTGGAATTAAATAGATAATAATTGAAAATTAGTTAGCATAGTATATTATCAAATATTCGTCAAAGTACTGAAATAATATGAAATTAGCAAAAAATTATTTATTGCAATGTTGATATGCTGTAAGATTATTTCTGTATTTTAGACATAAAGGATCTCGCCATTTTTTACTTGAAGATGTTTATTATTGGTAGATGCTTAAGAACAAATTTTTCATAAAATCAAAATAATGGCAGTTAGTAGTCATCCATAACAAATGTCCAGATAAAACATTGCATTGTTTAACTTCCCTATGTTCAATTTCATCCCATTCCTGAGTATTCAGTATAGCCTGTCAGGTCCAAAATCGTCGAAGATGGTTAACAGAAAAATTTGAAACCTGGTTCCAACCGACTCTAAAGGTCCGGTATAAAAAAAAACTTTCCAAAAAAGCCTGCTGGTTGAATTATAGTGCTTTTTGTTTTTGTTAAATAACAGTTCATTAAGGAAATATATCCAAAATGGAAATGAATATAGACACATTTTATAAGCAATAAAGAAAAATATACTTCTTTTCAAAGTTTTTGTTTTTAAATACATGAAATTTTAATAAACACATAATAATAATAATAATAAAATAAAGTTCGACACTCAGGGCATTTGAACATCTCATATAACTGTTCCATCAAGCACCTTTCTGCTCTTATAGCATCATCTTGTCTCATTTCAACACCATATTAATATTCAACTGGTTCATTAACTTCATTTTCTATTTGAAAACGCCCTTCAGATCAAACTAACCTGGAAATTTTCGGTGAAAGTTGTATGAAAAGAAAAAGGAAAATATCGATAGTAAATGTCTAGACGTTCTTTATATATGGGTCGTTATATGTTGAACAATTATCGTCACTGTATGACTTTGTATAATAGAAGTATAAAAGATATTTAAAAGCAGTTAGTTAAAAACGTATATATAACATTTGAATTAAAACTTTAAAAGAAAGTTTTAGTTAAATTCTGAAAAATATCAGTTGGTAGAAAATTTTAATTGAATCAATTTTGATTCATCGTTCTATTTCTAAGTATCATTTCAATAGTTATTAGAAAGTTCTTTTTTTTATCATCTCACACTGTTAAAGAAAGACTATCAATCTACTTTGACATAATTAGAATATTATACGTACAATGTTAATTTCAAATTTTTGACTCGCCAGTTTAAGTTAAATCGCTTATGTTTTGTGAATCGTACGATAAAAAAAGTCAAGTTCCCTTTAAGATTTGGCAACACTCAATCCAAGAAGTAACTATGATTATAGATGATGAAAATGTTTGGTTTAGTAGTACTTAGACATTTCAGTTGTTTAGTTCGAAAGTTTTATTTTCAAATGACAGAGAGACCAAAACAATCACACTTGTATGTGTGAATCTTCTCTTCACCCGCACTCTGATGCACTGTAAATATAAAAAAATTCTGCTTTTGTGATGAGCAAATGGAGAATGATCTAATACAGTATAGAGTAAATCGATAAATTGGAAGAAAACAAATAGATTATCTAACCTCAAAGATAATGAATTCGAACTTCTCTCTATTGTTTCAGTCTCTAAGTGAACAAGAACATTCAGCTTTTCCCGTCGATCTCTTGTAATGGAGTACTCCCGTCGGTGGAAAAATTTCATGAATATGTAGTTTGATAATTATACGAGTTGTTTTCGTTGAGACAAAAGTGACCAAAAATGTTTAGTATATGTCTTACATGTAGCAATATTTTTATTTTTTTCATAGCATTTTGTCTGAATCAATTCATTGATCTGTTACAAATTGTTTTCTGGTGTTTTCTCTTATTTTTGTTTTTCTACTCCTCAATGTTAAAGAAGATTAATACTATGTCGTCATGACGATGATTCTTAAGCTGTGAAAATCGATCAAAATAATTACAGCCTTCATTAATGCCAATAATACTCATATCTATCCTTGTGACTATATAAATGTCAGTGAAAGCGTTGCGTTTTTTTAAAATAAATAACGAATTGCAAGAAGAGGAAAGAGTAATCTTTAGTAGTTTTTTTTAACGAGAAACCTATGATATTAGATTGCTAGTATAGAAAGACAGGCAAAAGTTCTAGTTGATACTAAATGAAATCTACAGTTTCTTCCAAATTTCGAGTGATTAATAAAATGAATTTCGTTTGATATATTAAGAGTTTTATTACAACAAGCATTATTCGATATATATACGATCAATCGACAATTTTTGTCATTGTACGAAAAGAAAACAAATCGAAAATAATTTTAAATATGCACCTTGACAATCAGCAAGTTATTTTGACTAGCTTATATCAACGCATGTTCCATAAATTTTATTTTGTATTAAATAGAACTACAAACAAAAATGCTGAAAATTGAAGAAAAATTTATTTTCAGATAACTTTACATGTCTTTCATTTAATTCTGACTGCATATTTCTTTTCTTATTGGATTTGATGTATTTCATGTAAAAATATCAAACATATTGCCCTTGATTTTCCTATATACATTCGAATGAAAGTGAGCAACGCTGGATCCATTGGTTGTCATAATGAATCAAAAGACATAGCAAATATTATCTGCAAGAAACTACATGTGAGAGTGTCTTAAAATCATTCTGGGATGTAATAACAACAAATCTAAACGCGAAAACTTAAGCTTAGTCATCAACATGTCGAATAATACTGAATTAAATTCACAATTTAATTTTACTATCTGAAACATTGAGGTATTTCTATAACTATGTAAAATCTTTAAATAGAATCTTTACGTTTTCAATTGCTTACAGATCAAAGAGAGGAAGTGATACGGATAAGGAAACCATGAAATCTTACTAGATTGAATAATTAATTAATCCAACAAATTTCACAAATCGATATTGTTAGCCTTTGTTCTTTACAGATTCTTTTTTCTTGTTTGACATTTCAGCTAAGATTCTTTCTATCGATAGCACAACGAATTGAAATTGTAATGAATGTTTTGCAATTAATTAGTTATACAAACGAAACATTCAAGCATTTAATTAAATCAATGATACTGCTTTTTTATGATCTACTCATTAGAGTGACAATAAAATTATAATAGATTCATACTAATTATAAGAATAAAGAGTAAGAATCATACTTGATTATCCAACAAATTGTCCTATTCGGTGATGAAAAAAAAAATTAGACGTGATTTTCGACAGTTGCAAGGCTCTTTCCTGATGAGACATGTCTAGTCTTGCCAGTCATACTGATGACTTCTTACAATAAACATAAAATCATAATAAAAGGGAAAGTTTTATTTTTATCGATATTAAGATTATTATACTATAGTTTTCTTGATATACTGTCAAAAATTTTCATGCTGCATGCATCTTGTATGGCATTTTTTAATCTCTTTAGATAAAGACAAAACAGAACAATTTTCTTGAGACTATTAAAATAAAATAACTTGAGAATCTAAGAAAAAAAACAAATTCGAAAATCCTTTGAGTCTTTCAAACAGATGAGTGTTTGTATTTTCCCTTTTTAATCTTCTTATTTAAGACCTATTAAATAATCACAAGTTAGGATTATGCTTAATCATAGTTAAATTCAAAATCTTTTCTTGTCCATAATCAAAACTCGTGGTCAAGTAAATTTCTAATCATGTAGAATTTTTCAGTGAATTAAGCAGAAAATAAGAGAATTATTGAACTTACTATTTAAAAGAACATTAATTAAGTTGTGAGAAAAATTAGTATGTAGACTAGAAAACTTCTCATTATGACGAAAGAACAACGATTAAGTTTTTTATTTTAAATAAAAATAAATAGAGTGAGATGGGGTAAATGTAGAAGAAAAATCTAGGGTGTTTTGTATAATGCTTATATCTTTTTTATTTTTCAATATTTTAAACAATTTTCTTCACAAACTATGTAGAAAAATGTCTCCNAGTGGGGTAAATGTATAATATTGATGGAGGTCTCGGGAAATCCATCACCACTACATTATACTGCAAGATTTTTCAAAACTGATTTCATAGATAGATAGAGGAGACATTTTTCTACATAGTTTGTGAAGAAAATTGTTTAAAATATTGAAAAATAAAAAAGATATAAGCATTATACAAAACACCCTAGATTTTTCTTCTACATTTACCCCATCTCACTCTACAGTTTATATTGAATTAACATAATATATCCAACGGATAGAAAAATGGCAAAAAAGAAATGACTATATCCTACCGAATGCACAAAAAAGATTTCCCTGTAATGGATGATCTGTAAAATTTCTTTTAATGTTGATGCTATCATGTTTTTTATGCATTTTAATTTTTTAATCTACATGCTATGTTGTATGTATTTAAAAATATA